CGCATCGCCAACCTCCCCCGTCCACAGTAGCGTGGGCGAGGTCTCCGGCAAGGAGACACGGGGCCAGAGGTTGAGCTGATGCGCAGCGTACCGGACCGCAAACGGCCACAGAAAGTGGGGGGCAGCCGCATGGATCAAGGAGGTACGGGCGACCTCCATGACCAGGCCAATGCGGCGCTCCGCAACCCCATTCTGCTGTGGAGAAGCCGGAAGCGTGAACGACTGCTCAATGCCGTGCTCAGCACAGTAGGCTGCCAAGAGGTCGGAGGAGAACTCACCACCTCTGTCAGAGTGCAAGCGCAGGACAGGAAAGTCCGAGTGAAAACGCTCGCTGAGCTGGAGACGGGCTCTGCGGATCCAAGGGATCAAGACATCAGGGACCTCACCCTTGGTGCGCAAGGGGAAGACCGAGGTGTAGCGCGAGTAGTCGTCAACAACTATCAGGAAGTACCTCTCTTGACCCTGACCACGGACGCGGGCTGGGCCCCACACGTCCATGTGGAGTGTCTGCAAGGGAGCAGTCGTCGGGGGGAACGAGGAGGAGTGAGGAGCGGCGCGCTGCCGTCCCTCGACACAGGGGAGACAGGTAGGAGCAGGCGAGGGTGGGAGGGGAGGAAGGACCCTGGGCAGGCCAGAGACAAGGTACCTGGAGTGCATGGCACGAAGCCGCTGCACAGACGGGTGGCCAAGGCGGTGGTGCCAGAGGACAGTCTCGTGTGCCAAAGAGCGACACGAGCAGGGGGCGGACAGCTGACCTGACGCGGACGCGGACGCAGTCGCAGCAACCTGAGGGGACTCAGTAGTCAGTGTGTACATGTCCGACCCCGGCTGCCGAGTGAAGGTAGCCAAGTGACGGCCCGTACGATCACACGTGCAGTGTGTCACGCGCTCGTAGGCAGGGGTGAACTGGTGAACACCCCCGTCCTGGAGTGCACAGCCTGCCACCAAGTTCGTAGAGAACGAGGGGAGGTGGAGACCTGACAGTGTGCCCGACGGGACCGCAGGGCAGGGAAGGACAGTGGAAGAGGTCGCAATGACCGGACCCCCAGAGGGGTCAGCAAGGGAGACAGCAACTGGCCGAGCAAGCGGCTCAAGGGCAGTGCGGTCACGAAAGAAGCAGCGAGAAGCACCTGAGTCCAGTGTGAAGGTGTGCAGTGCGGCAGTCGACGCAGTACCAAGGGGGGGAGACACACGAGCACCTAGAGCAGCAGCCTCACCAGCACCTGGGGTAGCCGACACGTGAGTACCTGGAGCGGCAGACGCACTGGCCCTAATGCCCGGGTCGGGCGGCACACACAAGTACTCAGCACCCTCTCCACTAGTAGACATCACATACATGGCAGATAGAATAGCATCAAAGTCTAGAGCATAGATATCAATCCCCTTCTTCAGGAGATCAAGCCAGCGGGGCAGCTCAGTGGCCTGAGGGAACTGAACACGCCAAGCGTCGTCGAGACGAGAGAAGCAGCGCTGTGTGGCGTGCGGTCGTCCACACTGCTGACCAGTGCGGTCACCAGTGCGAATGACGTACGTGCAGCTAAGACCACCCCCACCCCCGTGCTGAGAGTACCACTCACGGACTTCCTGGGGCGAGAGAGTGTGCTGCTGGCCCTGGCCACCGCCAGCGCCTCCACGGCCACCACCACCGCTGCCACCTCCTCGACCACCCCAACCCCTGCCGCCGCCTCGTCCACCGCCACCCCAACCGCCGCCTCCACTCCTGCCACCTCCCCCGCCGCTGCCGCCACCACCCCCACCGCTACCACTCGCCCCTCCAGCCGAGCCACCACCCCCACTGCCTCCACCGCCCCCACCGCCGCCTCCCCCGCCGTCACCGCCACCACCCTTGCCCCCTTTGCCCTTGCCGCTGCGGCGTCCGCTCGAGGCAGACGCAGCGCCGACCTTCTCAGTACCAAGAAGGTCGACAGCAGCAGCAGAGGCGACAGAGGGAAGAAGGGGGGAAGGAGAACACCCCTCAAAGAACGGGGTACGGGGGTCGCCACGAGAGGCACCTACAGCGACTATGCTAGCCTCAGCTGCAAGTAGCTCCTTCTCGAGGAGGGCAATGGTGAGCTCAGTGGGGCAACGAGCTAGGAAGTGGTCCCTGACAGCACGCAGTGTGTCAGGGAGGCGGGTGACTAGGTGATAGAGAGTGAGCCAGAGTGGAGGGGGGTGCGTGGCAAGGAACTCAGCAGGCATGGCGGCACGGAAGCGGGCCTCACTAGTACGGAGGTGCGTGATGAGGTCAGCGACTGTGTGAAAGGAGGCCAGGTCGGGAAACAGGTAGGGGAGGGAGAGACGGCCTAGTGCGGCAGAGGCAGGTGAGGAGTAGCGAGCAACTACAGCTGTGTACAGTGCCTGTGCAGTCTTGTGCTGACCAAAGTGCTCGCGTTCGTCTATCGGCAGGGAGTTGCGAATGGCGAAGCGAGCGTGGGCATCACGAGTCTGCCACTGTGAGCGAGCAGTGCTGTCAGCAGTAGCAGCAGGGGCAGTGACATGGCCTAGGGCGTGATCGTACAGTGAGATGTCATCCTTGGCTGTGAGCTGTAGGTAGAGGTGCAGGTCATCGAGCCAGGTGTCAAACTTCACAGGGCGGCCCTCAGCATCGAACACGAGAACCTGTGGGCTAGCCATAGGAACAGTAGAAATAGCAGCAGTAGCAGTAGGAGAAGCAGGTAGGACGAACCAGGTAGGGCAGGGCGGCGCGGCTCGGTTCAGGTCGGGTCGCGGCTCGGCTGGGTGGCGCGGCTCGGCTCGGGGCGCGCGGCTCGGCTCGGGTCACGGCGGGGACGGGCCGCCCGCTCTCCCTCGTGTGCTGCGGCGGGAACGGGCCGCCCGGGGCCTCTGGGTGGTGGGCACGGGTCGGCGAGGTCGGCACGGGGTCGGTTGGGGCCCTAGAGGGGCGAGCGCGGGGCCGATCGGGGCCTGAGCGGGGGTAGCGCGGGGCCAAACGGGGCCTTGACGGGGCTAGCAAGGGGCCGACGGGGCCTGAACGGGGCTAGCGCGGGGCCGACGGGGCCTGAAACGGGGCCGAAGGGGCCTGAAACGGGGCTAGCGCGGGCCCGATCGGGGCCTGAATGGGGCTAGCGCGGGGCCGACGGGGCCTGAGAGGGGCTAGCGCGGGGCCTACGGGGCCTGAAACGGGGCTAGCGCGGGCCGGCGGGGCCTGAAACGGGGCTAGCGCGGGCCGACGGGGCCTGAGAGGGGCTAGCGCGGGGCCGACGGGGCCTGAAACGGGGCCGACGGGGCCTAAAACGGGGCTAGCGCGGGCCGACGGGGCCTGAGAGGGGCTAGCGCGGGGCCGACGGGGCCTGAAAAGGGGCCGACGGGGCCTGAAACGGGGCTAGCGCGGGCCGACGGGGCCTGAGAGGGGCTAGCGCGGGGCCGACGGGGCCTGAAACGGGGCCGACGGGGCCTAAACGGGGCTAGCGCGGGGCCTGAACGGGGCCTTAAAGGGGCCGACGGGGCCTGAACGGGGCTAGCGCGGGGCCGTCAAGAGGGGCCTCTAGGGGCGTGACACGCCGAGGCGCCCTAGGGCACGGGTAGGTAGGTAGGTAGGTAGTTACGTAGTGGTGGGCCCTTAGAAAATTTCGGTCCTAGGAAGGACCTGCTCTATACCATGTTGGAATCACTGAACAGGAAATGAATGAACTAGCAATGAAAAGAGTACAAGTACCTAACCCTAGAATTGTGTACCCCCTATAGGCTAACCCACTGTAGCCTAAACTAACACAACATATATAATGTTTGACATGCGCAACTCTGTTTTACAACCCATAACAGCTAGCATCCCAAGACTTTCGAGACCTTTGCAATTTGCTTCTATAATGATTGCTCATGCCTTCGCTCGGTTCCTTAAGAGTGACGCCATTGTTGCTCAGTCAATCCGCTTATAACAATACATAAGAATAGAAGTCCATTTATTTCAAGCATAAAATGTGTAAATGGACTGCCCAAATGCATAAACATCTTGGGTAGATGAAATAAAATTCGTGTCTAACAAGTGGGCATTACCAAACGCGTTCCAACTTCGTTCTGAATGGTTTATCCCGGTGTGTAATGGTCTAAAGCGGTAAGATCCGAGAACCGTGCCCAAACGTAGTTGACCGTATTCAACCACGTCAAGCGAACTCAGAGCAGAATGTATGACCCCCGTCGGACCATTCTGTTCGACGACCACCAAAAATGGAAACACTCTCCGCAAGTCCCGCAACTCGAGCGCAACTCGATACAAGATGTTGAAGCTTTTTTGCCTTGCGCACCCCCATGGAGTTTGAATCCCGCCTTGTCCATACGGATTTGCCAGCTTAACGCGTTCAGTAGCCGCAAGCGGCGCCCCCCAACGCTTTCCTCCCGTCATCGCCGCCCCCTCGTCCATCCATTCGCGTTCCTCCCCCTTGTGCCCATCATGACGACAGTCGCCACACCCCCGATCGACTCCTTCTCGCAGCCCCAACACCATCGTCGATATGTCCTAAGGTCGACCGAATGCACGTTTCCGGGCCTCGGCGCAGCGGCGATTCCTCTGAGCTTCCTCTCGCCCCCCCCACCCCCACCCCTCCCCCTCCCCCTCCCCCTCTCCTTCTTCCGCAACGAGACTCCCCAGCGACGATCCACGAGGCAATTTCTGGGAATAAGATTTAAAAAGGGCGATTGACCACTCGCTCTCAACATAAATCCGACGCTCGCTTCCGAGGGATCAGTCACATTCTCCCACCGCTCCTCGCTCATTGCGTGCCTTCGTCTCCTTCCTTCTCAGTCGCACCTCTCACTCGAACCTTCAAGGTCCCACCCAATCTCACCTCGTCGCGACGTCCAGCGACGTCAGATCCGGCGATTCAACTCGGGCCTGAAACTTGCCGCCATCGTGACGTCATCGTGATCCCAGTCTTTTCGTTTCCTCTGGCCGCCTTTTGAGGCGCCTCAAAAACCCCGACTTCCCGTTTCCCCACGACTCCCGTCGCCATGAAGCCCTGCGCGCCGTCCGCTGTCGCCACGAGGCCCTGCGCGCGCCTGTCTGGCCTGTGTGGCCTCGCCGCACTCGTCGCGGGTCTCGTCGCCATCAGCTTCCTCGCGACCCACGCCAGCGCCGCTGATGGTGAGTGGGCTGACTGAAACACACCACGGGCAGTAGGCGTGTAATGCTGGCGTGTGGATGAGTGCGACTCACAATCATAGCAGAATCTGTCTCGTTTTGAGCCTCTTTCCCTACCTTGCCTGTGTGCTGGTGTGTGTGCCTCTCTGCCCCTTATTTGAAACTATCACGACTTCTGTGCAGACCTGTGTGCGAACGAGGACTGCGGGGAAGGCACCTGCGCCGTTGATGTAGACAATGACATACCCCTGTGCGTGTGCAAGGACGGTTTGGTATTCGACGACGACCACAAGACGTGTGTCGTGGGTGAGTGCTGGAGTGTGGGCGAGTGAGAGCGTGTGGGTGGGTTTACAATCATGAACAGCAGTTCACTCAATTAACTTGCTTTCCCTGCGTCACCATCACTTCCTCTGCAGACCCGTGTACCGGCGGGGTGTGTGGGGTAGAGGCTTCCTGCGTTACTCTCGGTCCGACCGAATTCCTCTGCAATTGCAACAAGGAAGGCTTTGCCTTCAACGAGGCGGACAAGACGTGCTTTCGTGAGTGCTGCACTGCTGAGCTGTAGACACTTCATTTCTTGAGGCACTCGCATTTGAGCATCTCAGCATTTCAACCGGCTGCACTGAGAGGCGCCGCTGAGAGGCAACGCTTGGAACGTTCACCCCTCACTCCTCCCGCACTTTCCCCCCTGTCTGCCCCCTTCCTCTCCTCTCCCCTGTCCTGCCTCCAAACCCCCATCATCGTCACACAACCTTCAACCGCCACAATCTGGCATCGTCCGTCTCAACGGCCGGTCAGCCCCGTTGGTGCGGACGACAGTGGCGCTGCAGCAAGGAGGCTCGAGAAGCATTGTGCCCGCCAGCTTCTTGGCACCACTGCCGGCAGAGCAAGCGAGTGGCAGCAGCGCGTGCGGCAACCTGTACGTCACCATCGAAGGCAGCGCCAAGATCACCGTCGTGTGGAATGCCTCCAACCCCGCCCCGCCTGTTGATGAAGCGCCCAGCAACGCCATGTGCAAGAGCCTCTCGTTCTACGCCGAGTCGGGCTGCACGAAGAAGCTGCGCTTCACTATCGCGCGACCTGCGAAGAAGGGCAGTTCCTACCCCGTCACGATCAAGTGAGTGTGCGTTATGCATGCAACTGCATGGTTTGTTCCAGTGTGCTTGCAGCACTATTATCACCAGAAATTGCTCCGGTGTGCTGCATGGTTTGTTCCGGTACGCCGCTCCATTATCACCAGAAATTGCTTCACTGTCTCGTAGTTGTAGTGTGAATGGACCCTAACGCGTCCTCACCTTTGCTCTTCCCTCTCCTCACCTATCCCTCTCTCAGGACTGTCAAGGGAATCCGTTCGCTGCTATCAGTTGGCTGCGAGATCAGTAAGTGCGAGCGCATGCACGTTACGCTGGTCTTGTTTTTGCTTCACGTAAAGAGTGTCACGCGCACATGAGAGAAGATCTCCAAGCACACCAGCATGTGCTTTGCTCATTCTGATGAAATCAATGAAACGGGAGACATACCCTAAGATAGAGCGAGACACCCAAGCTCTTCTTTTTCCGTGATTCTTTCATTCCCCTCGCCATGCCTGGAAATTCATTCCCTTCTACATGCCTGGATTGCTCTCTCTGTGGTGCCCACAACAGCCATGTGTGAGAATGATTGTGGAAGTGCACAGTGCGTTGTGAAGGAGGGCCAACCGCAGTGCCAGTGCCCCGAGGGCCTCGTGTTCAACGCCGCTAAGAAGCTCTGCCTCGACCCTTCTCGTGCTCCCCGTAGGCGACCCTAGCTGGATGGACAGGGGCAAGGACGTCGTATCCGGGAGGGGGGAGGGGGGGGAGAGTAGGTGGGGGGGGTAATGGAGCAGCGGTGGGAGCAACCGCATGCGGTTGCTTGGAGGCTAGGAAACTGTTTGGCTGACAGGTTGGTTGGCTGATTCACTTCTGTGGTAGTACTAGAAATGGGATTACCAGTGTGTGTGATTCTGTGTTGAGTAGAGTCCACTTTTAGTTCCTTCAGACGGATTGTTTGCTTTGAAAATGTTACAATGGTATTCATATGTCACCCTAAGTTTTTTTTTTTTTTTTTTTAATTATCAACACTCACTATCCTAATCTAAGCAGGACTATTCGCTGCATAGACTACACCAAGTCTTTTGGGTTTCTAAGAGTGGACAGATCAGAATCAGCACATACCAGTACGCAGCTGTGACTGCAGGAAGTGAAGGCCTAGTACCCAGGTGGCATACGGTATCCATGTTGTTTCGCGCTGGAAATCTACTGCAATCCTGCAAAACTCTGTACTGTGGCCCACTCAGATGCCTGCCTGCACTTCACTCATCTTCGCCTGCCTCCCGTGCCCCTCCCTCTCCCCCACTGTCTCTGCTTGGTGCTCTCCCCTGGTCCCTCACCTTTCCCCTCAACCTTACCAACAACATCCTTCCCCTCCTTCCATCTCTATCCTCGTCATCTTCCTCTTCCTCTTCATCCTCCTCTTCCTCCTCCTCCTCCTCCTCATGTTCCTCCTCTTCCTCCTCCTCATCTTCCTCCTCATCTTCCTCGTCCTCCCCTCCTCTATCCCCTCTCCCCCACCCAGCACCATGATTTGGGTTGCGGAACAGCGGTGCTGCATCTTCGAAGGAATCAGAACCTTCTGAGTCGCTTCCGCTGCTGCCTGGAAAGGAGAGAAGGGATTGAAGTGACAGATGAAATGAAGGTGTATGGTATGGGTCCAAAAAGTACGTACTCGCAACAGTACCCTACCCAACCATTTTGAATGTTCGATATACTGCTCTGGATTGTACCAACCAACCCTTCTTCAACCGCATTCAGACATACTCTTCGGACACGCTCATACTGAACACGAACTCGCTACCTGGGAAAGGCACATCCATGCACCATGTGAAGGCACATCGATGCACCATGTGAAGGCACATCCATGCAACCTGTGAAGGCACATCCATGCACCATGTGAAGGCACATCCATGCACCATGTGAAGGCACATCCATGCACCATGTGAAGGCACATCCATGCACCATGTGAAGGCACATCCATGCACCATGTGAAGGCACATCCATGCACCATGTGAAGGCACATCCATGCACCATGTGAAGGCACATCCATGCACCATGTGAAGGCACATCCATGCACCATGTGAAGGCACATCCATGCACCATGTGAAGGCACATCCATGCACCATGTGAAGGCACATCCATGCACCATGTGAAGGCACATCCATGCACCATGTGAAGGCACATCCATGCACCATGTGAAGGCACATCCATGCACCATGTGAAGGCACATCCATGCACCATGTGAAGGCACATCCATGCACCATGCGAAGGCACATCCATGCACCATGTGAAGGCACATCCATGCACCATGTGAAGGCACATCCATGCACCATGTGAAGGCACATCCATGCACCATGTGAAGGCACATCCATGCACCATGCGAAGGCACATCCATGCACCATGTGAAGGCACATTCATGCACCATGTGAAGGCACATCCATGCACCATGTGAAGGCACATTCATGCACCATGTGAAGGCACATCCATGCACCATGTGAAGGCACATCCATGCACCATGTGAAGGCACATCCATGCACCATGTGAAGGCACATCCATGCACCATGTGAAGGCACATCCATGCACCATGTGAAGGCACATCGATGCAGCATGTGAAGGCACATCGATGCACCATGTGAAGGCACATCCATGCACCATGTGAAGGCACATCCATGCACCATGTGAAGGCACATCGATGCATCATGTGAAGGCACATCGATGCACCATGTGAAGGCACATCGATGCACCATGTGAAGGCACATCCATGCACCATGTGAAGGCACATTCATGCACCATGTGAAGGCACATCCATGCACCATGTGAAGGCACATCCATGCACCATGTGAAGGCACATCCATGCACCATGTGAAGGCACATCCATGCACCATGTGAAGGCACATCCATGCACCATGCGAAGGCACATCCATGCACCATGTGAAGGCACATCCATGCACCATGTGAAGGCACATCCATGCACCATGTGAAGGCACATCCATGCACCATGTGAAGGCACATCCATGCACCATGTGAAGGCACATCCATGCACCATGTGAAGGCACATCCATGCACCATGTGAAGGCACATCCATGCAACCTGTGAAGGCACATCCATGCACCATGTGAAGGCACATCCATGCACCATGTGAAGGCACATCCATGCACCATGTGAAGGCACATCCATGCACCATGTGAAGGCACATCCATGCACCATGTGAAGGCACATCCATGCACCATGTGAAGGCACATCCATGCACCATGTGAAGGCACATCCATGCACCATGTGAAGGCACATCCATGCACCATGTGAAGGCACATCCATGCACCATGTGAAGGCACATTCATGCACCATGTGAAGGCACATCCATGCACCATGTGAAGGCACATCCATGCACCATGTGAAGGCACATCCATGCACCATGTGAAGGCACATCCATGCACCATGTGAAGGCACATCCATGCACCATGCGAAGGCACATCCATGCACCATGTGAAGGCACATCCATGCACCATGTGAAGGCACATCCATGCACCATGTGAAGGCACATCCATGCACCATGTGAAGGCACATCCATGCACCATGCGAAGGCACATCCATGCACCATGTGAAGGCACATTCATGCACCATGTGAAGGCACATCCATGCACCATGTGAAGGCACATTCATGCACCATGTGAAGGCACATCCATGCACCATGTGAAGGCACATCCATGCACCATGTGAAGGCACATCCATGCACCATGTGAAGGCACATCCATGCACCATGTGAAGGCACATCCATGCACCATGTGAAGGCACATCGATGCAGCATGTGAAGGCACATCGATGCACCATGTGAAGGCACATCCATGCACCATGTGAAGGCACATCCATGCACCATGTGAAGGCACATCGATGCATCATGTGAAGGCACATCGATGCACCATGTGAAGGCACATCGATGCACCATGTGAAGGCACATCCATGCACCATGTGAAGGCACATCCATGCACCATGTGAAGGCACATCCATGCACCATGTGAAGGCACATCGATGCACCATGTGAAGGCACATCGATGCACCATGTGAAGGCACATCGATGCACCATGTGAAGGCACATCCACGCAGCCTGTGAAGGCACATCCATGCACCATGTGAAGGCACATCGATGCACCATGTGAAGGCACATCCATGCAACCTGTGAAGGCACATCTGTGCATCACCTGGGGAAGGCACATCTGTGCATCACCTGGGGAAGGCACATCTGTGCATCACCTGGGGAAGGCACATCTGTGCCGGCATGTCTGGCCTGTGCGAGCTCCGCCTCCCTCTCCATCCACCTGTGCTGTGCGGCTATCACCTCCGCCCCGTCCGCACTGGTCCATGGTGGGGAGATGCATGGAGAGGGGGGAGATTTGAGTACAAATGACATGGCGCACACGCAAAACAGTTGAATGGGGATGAGATGCGGAGAAAGAACCTTATTAAATTAAAGAGCATGAGGAAGCTGAAATGGGCAAAAAACAAAGTTGGAATATACGCGTACAGCGTATATTCGCGTATCGTATATACGCTAGTGTATATACGCTATCCGCTTAGGGGTTCGGTTTGGAGATACGTTTTTTCGGGCAGAGAAAAAACTTTCCGGGCAGGGTGAAATAAAAGTACTCCCTATTCTCACTAAGGCTTGCCCTTGCATAATCCTGAATGTGAATGACGAGTGCAATGGGAGGTGGAGTAGACATAATAGCTAGAAAGCGAAGTAGCGTGAACTCTGGTGAAAGCGGGAACGAAATGACGAGTTAGGGTTAGCCAACAGGGCTGGCTGGTAAGTACCGTGAGATTTGTTGGGGGGTTAATTTTGACAGGTTGGAGTTTGTAGATAAAGTGGGGTTCAATGCGGTAGAAGGGATGGATTTCAATGCCTAGATGGGATCTGAAATTCAACATTTGCCTGACGACTTCGAAGTCAGATCCCCGTTTGCCTAGACCGCGGTTTTGAATTTCGACTACGGCGAAATGCTCACCTAGGAAATCCGCATCTTTTTTGCGATTTTTTTCGGGCAGCCCTAAAAAAAATCTAAGAGCGTATAGCGTATTCGCTAGCGTATAGCGGATAGCGTATGTACGCTAGCGTACATACGCTGTACGCTTAAGGTGTTAAGCGTATATTCCAACTTAGGCAAAAAATTAACAAAAGCCCACATACCACATGATTACCACAGGTATGAAGAACCCAGCATGTGTTCGTTGCACCAAGCATCTGTGCGGTGCATCCCCCTACACTTATGAACAGCACCCACCACGTCATACCCACCACCACGACATACCCACCCCATGGCGCACCCACCACGCATGCATAGTGGCGCAAGCACCCAGCGTGCATACGGTGCTTCCCCCTAAACTCATGAACAGCACCCACCACCTTTGGGATAGATGGTTGGTGAGAGAGGAGGAAAATATTGTTGAATCATGGAGCTGTTGGGGGACTGCAGTGGTCAGGGCAGCGGCAGATGGTTGGTTGGTGACGTCACTGATGCTGGGCGAGGAAGGAGAGGGCGGCGCCGTTGAGCACAGCTGCATTGTGCGCCTGGCAGGATGGGCGAGGGAAGCGGTTGCAGGAGGATGGCAGGATGGGCGAGGGAAGCGGTTGCAGGAGGATGGCAGGATGGGCGAGGGAAGTGGTTGCAGGAGGATGGCAGGATGGGCGAGGGAAGTGGTTGCAGGAGGATGGCATGGGTTGAACGAGCATGAGAGGTTGAAAGAGCTTAAGCGGTTGAGAATGTGCTGTTGAAAGAGGTGGGAAGGCTTGCGTTGAGCGAGAATGGGATGTTCGATATTGCATGGGGAGGAGAGATGGGAAAGATCGATGTGATAAGAAGCAGACATGCACAGACAAACGCACGCCCCTTATCACAGCTGGCAAACGTGAAAGGCATGAACGCCCTTTTCAGGGAGAACAAAGGGAAGGGGAGAAGAAAGGGGAAAAGAAAGGGGAGAACAAAGGGGAGAACAAAGGGGAGAACAAAGGGGAGAACAAAGGGGAGAACAAAGGGGAGAACAAAGGGGAGAACAAAGGGGAGAACAAAGGGGAGAACAAAGGGGAGAACAAAGGGGAGAACAAAGGGGAGAACAAAGGGGAGAACCAAGAGGTATCTGTGTGTTTAGCTGCTGCGTGCGCATGTGCATGTGCGTTAGTGCGTGTGTGCGTGCGAGAGTGCGTGCATGCATGTGCGTGTGAATGTGTGAACGTGCGTGCACACAAGGTTTGCAATCATAGGGGGAGAGAGAGAGAGAGGGAGGGAGAAGCAGCTATGTGTGCGGCGGCGTTCGAACATTTCATGGGGAATCTCGGGGAGATTGGGCTGCGCCACAACCCAGCCAAATGCGCGGCCTGGTCACAAGCTGGACGGCAGGGAGCAGCGCTGCCACAGGGTGTACCTTTCACTGACGACGGGGTGAAGGTGCTTGGCAGTTTCATTGGTGGCGTCGACGCAACAGCGGCGTTCCTACGTGCTAGCCTCGACACCATGGGCGGGGCTCTACCTTTAATCGCGCGCATGGAGCCGCAGCTGGCGGCTTTACTGCTGACACGGTCCTACGTTGCCCGTACCACGCCCCTCTCTGCCCTGCCAGTCGAGGAATGGTCAGACTGGGGGAAAAGACTGTTTGAGACGCTGCTGATGGCTTGCGGCATCCGTCACCCAAGGGGGGATGCCGAGATTTCACGCACCTGGGCCCAAGCCTCGCTGCCGATCTCGCTTGGAGGTTTGGGTCTCGCAGACCCCTCGGTGGAAGGACGCGTTGGGTTCCTTGCAAGCTACACCCAAGCGCAGCACCTGCTCACCTCAATTGACGAGCGAGCTGTCGGCGCCTTGGCGGAAACACGGATCCAGATGAAGGGACCCTTCGTGAACTCGTCGCCCCTGTTTGACTGGTTGGAGAGGTGCGAGGAGTCGCTGCCGGACGATGGGAAAGAGTTGCTGCAGAGTGATCGAGCCGATCCCAAGGGCGTCAAGCTGCAGCACGGGCTAGCAATCACGGGCTGACTTTATGACTCACAGCAAGATGACTGCGTTCTGCCCCGTCACCAGGAAGAAGGCCGACATTGCGATCCAGGACAAGTCCTCAGGAGCGGTGTGGATAGGGGACGTGACCATCACGGACCCCATTAGCACACGGGATCCCAACGCGGTCAAGGGCAGGGGGTGGGCGGCCAGGGAGGCGGCTGAGAAGAATATTTCCGACCACAAGGGCTCAACGGCCTCGTGGGTCGGATTATTCCCTCTCGCCATTGATACCAACGGCTGCCCGTGCACGGAAGTACCGCAATTCCTCAAACTGCTAGCCGACACTGCCGCCCGCAGACTCTTCAACGCGGCCCCCTCATCTTACCAGGCAACAAAGCTGCTGCATCAGTTCCGCCAGCGGTGGTCCGTGGCGCTGCAATGGGCACAGTCAGTGAGCTTCATGACGAAATGCAACTATGCGGCTCAGGTGGAAAACCCACCTGTGGGGCTGCCGGGTGACGGCATGTCCCTTGGGGACTGTCTTGCCATCCTGGAGCCGACATTGGAGCTGCCTTAGAGGGGGACGGGTGTGAGTAGGATGTGTGGGTTTAGAAGCTGAGTTGCTTTAGTTTTCTACACCCATATGCATGTCTGTTTTTGCACGGATCTAATACACGGACCGCTTGAGAGAGGGAGGGAGGGAGGGAGGGAAGGAGGGAGGGAGGGAGGGATGGAGGGAAGGAGGGAGGGAGGGAGGGAGGGAGGGAGGGAGGGAGGGAGGGAGGGAGGGAGGGAGGGAGGGAGGGAGGGAGGGAGGGAGGGAGGGAGGGAGGGAGGAGGGAGGGAGAGGAAGGCTTGCTGGTGCATGGGATGGCAAGGGGGAAGAGCTGGTCGCTGCCTCCCCACACTAGCAAGGTGGGGTGCGCAGTGGTTGGGATAAGATAGAGAGTGATAAGAAAGAGAGTGTTTTTAAAAAAGAGTGATAATAATGAAAGTAATTAGAAAGAGAGTGATGAGAAAGAGATCGATAAGAAAGTGAATGATATGATAGTAAGGAGACTATGCAGCCTCGAAAATGCACAATAGTCTGTCGCTTACTTCCTCACATCCGCAATGCACAAATCACCCCCATGCACTCCGCCTCATAGCACCGCACTGCACAGCACACCACCGGACAGCACCACTTTGCACTTCTCAGCATACCATTGGCGGCACAGCGATATCCCCAGGTGTTTCTGCGTTGGCCTGGCCTGTACATCACTCAACAATGTCTCCAGCAGCACCTGTTCTCCACCCTGTTCTCAAACAGCACCTACGTCAGGCACCCATGCATGCACACGCAGCACCGCACAGCACCACACACACAAATCACTACTTCAACCTTTGATGGTTCTCACAAGTTTATGGTTTTTCTATTTGAATCGGTTACCAATCCCGGAGGTACGGCGCCTCGTTGTTCCCGAGCCTAATCAGCCGAAGCAGGCCTCTAGGCCCGGTGCGCAGGAAGAGGTGCGGGGGCGTCTTGGCGTGCCAGTTCTGCGTTCGCCCCGCCCCTCCCAGCACTAACCGGGAAACACGTGGGGAAGAGAACGGGATCAAGGGGGACCAGGGGGGGGGAGAGGTGGGGTGGTAGGCGCAAGTCACGACGAAGTGACTCGACAGTAACCCGCATGCACAGCAGCATTTGACTAGCTGACGTACCTGTGAGCGATGACTCTCGCCGACCATCAGCCGCGATCATCGCTTCCGCCTGGAACCGCTCGTCGCGCCGCGAATCGCGGGAGTACACGCCGCGGAAGAACAGGAGTTTTGGGATGTAGAGATCGAAATGGCGGGAAAACAAGGCGACCTGGTTAATCCAGTGGTTTAAAGAAGACTCGCCTAAGCCGGCGTAGAGAAGTAGCAGAGGCGGTTTGGCGGGAATTGCGGCGGAAGGCACGGCGGGTTTGCCGCCGCGAGAAGCGGGGACCCAGCAGGAGGCGAGCGTGAGATTGTTGACGTGTAATTGGTCGAGGTGCAGGCCGTACGCGTTATAAACGAGCGCGAAACAGGAATCTTGAATCTAACCCGAAACCCAAGCCTTAACTTGACCTGTAACCCGCGGTGTAATCCGCGCTATAACCCGCGCGCACACGACGCCCTGTAACCCGCGATCACTCCACGACTTGACGAGATTGTTACTGAACAATGTTTTCGCAATCCTCGCCTTTTATCAGAATTTTACTCACATAGCGTGACAAGGTAATTATTATGACGGATGTGTGAAATATCGTTGCTGTCAGTCGCATACGCGATAGTGCCCAAGGTCAGGTCAGGAGGAAAAGCCCAGCCTATTCCCAGCCTCTTCCCAACCTCAAGCTTTGGCGACACTGTTTCAGCCAAAGTCAGCCAGGAACGCGTTAAAGCCCGAGTTTCACATGGTATTTTTCAAATTCAAGTTTCTTGAAGTTGATTTCGTGAATAACCATGTTACCAGCTGGTTCAGAACAATCCGTCGGTTTCAAGCAGCAGAGGTGATCCGTGATTGGCCAGCGATAAACTGGAACAACAAGCAGGAAAAACGCCTCAGAGGAAAGCACTATTCACCTTGAGTAAACTTGAAAACCATCGGGAACGCTTGGACACGCATATTATGAGGCACGCTAGCAGTCGTTCTCCCGTCACATACGGGCAATCTTCAGTCTAAGTGCTCTGTTCAAAGACACGAATCAGGGACCTTTGGCGACTTTAGTTGCAATCGAGCCGCCGCCATTATGTTTCCTCTAAGTGTCGTTGCAGCGAGTAGTAGTCTCAGGCTTAGAAAGAAGCACATGCTCGCGCGTCGCGAAAGTATCCCCAGCCTTCCGCCTCCGCCGTCAATCTCTCGGCCAATGTAGACACCCCGACTTATTTTCCAGTCGTAGCGCCTCGGTATGACAGCAACGCCACGGTGTATCGCGTTGCCTCACTCGGTCGCCCTGGCATCGCCCTTCCTCAAACATCACATTCGCCTTCTGCGTACCCTACGCACACGCCCACGCTTCCCCCTACCCTTTCCCTCACCTTCGCTCACGCTTCCCCTTTACCGTCGCTACCTCCTGCTCCCTGGGTGCACCCACAATTCCGCTGACCATCGCGCACGCCTCCCCCCACATTCACACACGCTCATCGCCCACGCTTCACCGGACCGTCACCCCCGCTTCAGCCCACCGTCATCGACGCTTCCTCTTACCGTCGCCCACGCTTCCTCTTACCGTCGCCCACGCTTCCTCTTACCGTCCCCCACGCTTCCTCCCACCGTGGCCCACGCTTCCTCCCCGTCACCCACGCTTCCCCCCACCGTCACCAATGCTTTTCCCCACCGTCGCCAACGCTTTTCCCCACCGTCGCCAACTCTATTCCCCACCGTCGCCAACTCTTTTCCCCACCGTCGCCAACGCTTCTCCCCACCGTCGCCCACGCTTCCCCCCACCGGCGCCCACGCTTCCCCCCACCGTCGCCCACATTTCCCCCCACCATCGCCCACGTTTCCCTCCACCGTCGCCCACGTTTCCCCCCACCGTCGCCCACGTTTCCCCCCACCGTCGCCCACGTTTCCCCCCACCGTCGCCCACGCTTCCCCCCACCGTCGCCCACGCTTCCCCCCACCGTCGCCCACGCTTCCCCTGCCATCGCCCTCCGTGTCGCCCGAGAATCCCCCCTCCCGCCGGCCTCCCTCCCCTCCCGCGAAAAACCCCCCCGTCCTCTCATTACCCCGGCCTCTCATCCCCCTGTCCCCTGTCCTCTCATCCCCTCGTCCTCTCATCCCCTCGTCCTCTCATCCCCCCGTCCTCTCATCCCCCCGTCCTCTCATCCCTCCGTCCTCTCATCCCCCCATCCTCTCATCCCCCTGTCCTCTCATCCCCCCGTCCTCTCACCCCCCTGTCCCCTCATCCCCCTGTCCTCTCATCCCTCTGTCCTCTCATCCCCCTGTCCTCTCATCCCCCTGTCCTCTCATCCCCCTGTCCTCTCATCCCCCTGTCCTCTCATCCCTCTGTCCTCTCATCCCCCCGTCCTCTCATCCCCCTGTTCCCTGTCCTCTCGTCCCCCCATCCTCTCATCCCCCCGTCCCCTGTCCTCTCGTCCGTCTGTCCTATCATCCCCCCGTCCTCTCATCCCCCTGTCCTCTCATCCCCCTGTCTTCTCATCCCCCTGTCCTCTCATTACCCTGTCCTCTCATCCCCCCGTCCTCTCATCCCTCTGTCCTCTCGTCCCTCTGTCCTCTCGTTCCCCTGTCCTCTCGTCCCCTTGTCCTCTCATCCCCCTGTCCTCTCATCCCCCGGTCCTCTCATCCCCCTGTTCCCTGTCCTCTCATCCCCCCGTCCCCTGTCCTCTCGTCCGTCTGTCCTATCATTCCCCCGTCCTCTCATCCCCCTGTCCTCTCATCCCTCTGTCCTCTCATCCCCCTGTCTTCTCATCCCCCTGTCCTCTCATTACCCTGTCCTCTCATCCCCCCGTCCTCTCATCCCTCTGTCCTCTCGTCCCTCTGTCCTCTCCTCCCCCTGTCCTCTCGTCCCCTTGTCCTCTCATCCCCCTGTCCTCTCATCCCCCGGTCCTCTCATCCCCCTGTTCCCTGTCCTCTCATGCCCCCGTCCCCTGTTCTCTCGTCCGTCTGTCCTATCATTCCCCCGTCCTCTCATCCCCCTGTCCTCTCATCCCCCTGTCCTCTCATCCCCCCGTCCTCTCATCCCTCTGTCCTCTCATCCCTCTGTCCTCTCGTCCCCCCGTCCTCTCATCCCCCTGTCCTCTCATCCCCCTGTCCTCTCCTCCCCCTGTCCTCTCATCCCCCTGTCCTCTCATCCCCCTGTCCTCTCATCCCTCTGTCCTCTCATCCCCCTGTCTTCTCATCCCCCTGTCCTCTCATTACCCTGTCCTCTCATCCCCCCGTCCTCTCATCCCTCTGTCCTCTCGTCCCTCTGTCCTCTCGTTCCCCTGTCCTCTCGTCCCCCTGTCCTCTCATCCCCCTCTCCTCTCATCCCCCGGTCCTCTCATCCCCCTGTTCCCTGTCCTCTCATCCCCCCGTCCCCTGTCCTCTCGTCCGTCTGTCCTATCATTCCCCCGTCCTCTCATCCCCCTGTCCTCTCATCCCCCTGTCCTCTCATCCCCCTGTCCTCTCATCCCCCTGTCCTCTCATCCCCCTGTCCTCTCATCCCTCTGTCCTCTCATCCCCCCGTCCCCTGTCCTCTCGTCCGTCTGTCCTATCATTCCCACGTCCTCTCATCCCCCTGTCCTCTCATCCCCCTGTCCTCTCATCCCCCTGTCCTATCATTCCCCCGTCCTCTCATCCCCTTGTCCTCTCATCCCCCTGTCCTCTCATCCCCCTGTCCTCTCATCCCCCCGTCCTCTCATCCCTCTGTTCTCTCATCCCCCCGTCCTCTCATCCCCCTGTCCTCTCATCCCCCTGTCCTCTCATCCCCCTGTCCTCTCATCCCCCTGTCCTCTCATCCCCCTGTCCTCTCATCCCCCCGTCCTCTCCTCCCTCTGTCCTCTCATCCCCCCGTTCTCTCATCCCTCCGTCCTCTCGTCCCCCTGTCCTCTCGTCCCCCTGTCCTTTCATCTCCCTGTCCTCTCATCCCTCTGTCCTCTCATCCCCCTGTCCACCCTCCTCTCATCCCTCCGTCCTCTCATCCCCCTGTCCTCTCGTTCCCCCGTTCTCTCATCCCCCCATCCTCTCATCCCCCTGTCCTCTCATCCCCCCGTCCTCTCACCCCCCTGTCCCCTCATCCCCCTGTCCTCTCATCCCCCTGTCCTCTCATCCCTCTGTCCTCTCATCCCTCTGTCCTCTCATCCCTCTGTCCTCTCGTCCCCCTGTCCTCTCGTCCCCCTGTCCTCTCGTCCCCCTGTCCTCTCATCCCCCCGTCCTATCACCCCTCTGTCCTCTCGTCCCCCCGTCCTCTCACCCCGCTGTCCCCTCATCCCCCTGTCCTCTCATCCCCCTGTCCTCTCATTCTCATCCCCCTGTCCTCTCATCCCCCTGTTCTCTCATCCCCCTGTCCTCTCATCCCCCTGTTCCCTGTCCTCTCTTCCCCCCATCCTCTCATCCCCCCGTCCCCTGTCCTCTCGTCCGCCTGTCCTCTCATCCCCCCGTCCTCTCATCCCCCCGTCCCCCTGACCTCTCGTCCCCCTGTCCTCTCGTCCTCTTGTCCTCACATGCCCCTGTCCTTTCATCCTCCCGTCCTCTCAGTTCATATTCTCTCTGTCCCCCTTCTCTCTGTTTCCCTTCTCCTTATCGCCTTTCTCCCTGTCCCTCGTCTTCCTCACCCCCTTCCCCGTATACCTATCCCCTACTACCACCATTGCCTTCCCTGCCCTTCCTCACCCTCCCTCCTATTTCCCCCCACCCTCTGCCTCCCTTTCCCTCACCATCTCCCCATGTGTGGCAACTGTCAGCAAGCTCATCGCCACCACACCTCCTCCCTCAACAGAGGACAATGCACTGATGTGGATGGAGACCGGGGGTTGTCCACCTCCAACACCACCTGTTGGCTCGTACACCATATGATGGCACTCAATTTTACCACCGTTGACTCTAACTGCAAGAGAGCTTATGTTGTGCCATTCTTGAAACCAGGACCATTGAGGCAAACATGTTTGGTGGACAAGTGCTCATTCGCATAAATGTGGATTCCAAAATTCAATGTAAAATCCTTTATACATGTATACGCTTGCTGTGACTTGAGCCACTTGACACACACGCGTGCTAATTATGCTGAGTCATGAGCAAAAACATCAAACTACCGTACTTGCTTTAGAAGGTGCAACCTGTTGCTGCCAAAATCATGCAGGTAGGAGGAGTAGTATCTGTAGGCAACATGTACTCAATCGTGTGGTGGTAATGTCTTGTATGCGGTGAAAATTTCCAACAAACACAAAAATGTTCCGGACACCAAATGGATGTGCAGTTCAGTGGAGCAAAACATGGAGAAGTAGAGCAAAGAAAGAGACGAATGGTAATGAGAGCACCACGTTGGGAGCAATAAGGGGCCACTCCTGACCTTGAAAGCTGTTGACATATAGTCCATGCGGCTGGTTGAACGCATGTGTGGGGAGGGGTGTGAGGCATGGGCAACATTAGTGCCATGATAGTGAAACGAGCACAAAAAGATAAATCAGTGGTTGTAGTATGCATCAAAGGTTAGAACCAAGAAGACATGGAACCGGATGGAGTAGGAGCAGCCTGTATTTTGTTGCAAAGGGGATAATTGGGTAGTATCACAATGCATGCTAAGTCGACAAAGACGAACGAAGGGTTTACGAAAGATACCTCATGGTAAATGATAAATCAATGGTTTGCACTTGACTTACGCTGTCGCATGTACCGTTGATTTGCATGACTGATGGCACTCGCACCTATTGGTGGTTGAGGTTGTGCTCGGAGGGGTCCACGACTCGGCTGACATCAAAGGGCGCCAAGGCCTCCTTTGGGGTCAGGCACGGAGACACCACCATGGCCCTCTACTCGTATGGCACCAACTCCACACCAGTATCCTTCCCCAAAAGCACGTCCAGGAGCTGAGAGAACAAGGTTGGAATGAGAGGGGAAAATAATGCTCTATGATTGACTGAGGTGGAGGGTTTAGAATGACTAGACTGGGGAATTGAAGCATGAGGGCGTAAGATGGGCATTGAAGGGAGTAGGATGGGAGCATGGGACAAGGCTGGGAGAGGGCACACCGGGTCTGAAAGTGAAGATAGAGGGCAAAGCGAGAGATGCACATGTTATGGGTGAAGGCAGCAGTGATATGGACAAGGATAGGCACTATTACCCTCAAAGGCGCTCACCGGCATCGCCGACATCTAAATTGACGCGGCGTGTTGGACAAAATGGTGATTTAGATCCCTCCACGTCGGCGTAAGTGTTTCCAAAACGTTTACCGAGGATGGTTGGTGGCATCACCTGCAACATGATCGCAAGAAGGGAGCGTCAAAATATATTACATAAGACAAGAGTAAGGGTTGGCGAGAATGTGGTTCGGATCTTACATAAAATACGTCGCCCAGCACCGCGCGTCGAAGTAAGGCCGCGGACTATGCCACCTTCTCGCACAGGAGTAACCGGCCCAACAACAGATGGGTGTCGCCCTCCACAAGGTAAGTCGACAGGATGTTGCGCCTGCCTCTTTGGGGCCGTCTCCATAATCTCATCGTCGACTCCAAACCCCAGCGATCGTTGCCAGTCCTCCATAATCCGATCAACCCAAGACCAATCCATAGGTCCGAGGGTTCGATCCTTGTTGCCCCGTCGCACCCGAGTTACTTGCCGTACACGAGTGCGATACGATGTGACCAGCCTGTCCATCGAGTTATTCCAATGCAGGACAGCCAGCCCCACTCGTGCCTCAAGACTACCTTTGAACCTGATACGCTTAGCAGCGTATTTGATGATCAGGGAATGGAAAGACTCGTTTATGGAACTGTTGGCTCCGTAAACATAGGGTTTCACCTTGTCTGGCGAACACCGTTTCTTGAACCATGTAAGAACCGCCTTGTGCGTTTCCGATCCAGGCTCATAAAGTGCACATTCCCTGCCCCACTTCTCGGTAACACACCTTGGAGGAATACTCCCGTTCCGTCCACACTCGGAGTGGTCACCTGCCCAGTGGTTAGGTGCTGTCCCAATTTCCTTTGCCACATCTTCGGGAGTCATAGGGGTGCCCGCTTTCAACAGCGCCGTGCAACGCATCATCACATGGAAGAAATGCGAGGCGAAGCGCTGCACCACCGTACTCTCCTCATCGCCGGCGTTTATCTCATCTCCGCCACGTTTCCGTTTTCGCCGCCCAGTCCAACGGGGCAAATTCTCTCCGACGTCACTTCCGTGGTTGTCGGTCTCACCCGCTGCACCATCGTTGTTGCAGCCAGTCATCGTCTCTGTCAGGTCAAAACGAGCAGTATGAACAATTTTAGGAAACAAGCGGCGTACTCCAATCTGAATATGGCATGGAAAGTAAGTTTCACAAAGCGTTCATACCAGTAGCTTCATCATCGTTGGCCCACGGAGTCGTCCTGCGCACACTTCATAAGTCGCCAACTATGCGCTAGTTCCTCGCATGCATGTGACATTCCATCAATAACCCAACTCACCAGCGGCTAGGCCAGCCCTGATGAGCCATGACGTAGCCTCAGGTGCTGCCTCCGCTAAGAAATGAATCACGTCGTCGGCCGTCGTCCCCCTCTCGCCAGCAAACAAGGCGGACAACCCTACGCGTAACACGCACAGTAACGGTCGCATGTGCCGTGATATGTTCACGCTTCCCGTCGTTGCATCTTTGCATGCTTGCGTTGCTGCATGTAACCCTGCACTTGTCGCTGGAGCCATGAGTAGCAAGCTGCACCTCCATGATGGGAGGCAATGTCGTTATGGGCAACAGAGGGATACAGAGCAGAAGTGAGCACATGCTGTGAGAGGCGGAGCAGTAGCCTGACACTTTGAAACGAGCATCAGAATGCTATTGCTGAGACATCAATGGCGAAGGCCACGAGCTGTGACAAAAGCAGCAATGAGCACATGGTGACGACATCAGCAGCAGTGAGCACGTAATGTGACAAGAGCAGCAGTGGTATGATGCTGTGACATGAGCAGGAGAGAGCCCATGCTGTGACATATAGAGCAGTAATCCGATTTTATGGCATATAGTAGTAGACGCATCACATGTTGTGACTTGGCAACAGTGTAGCCTCATGCTATGACCCCAGCAAAAGAACCTACATCATGTGACACCAGCAGCAGTCTCAAGCTGTGACATGAGCATTTGCTATATGAAGCTGTGACATGAGCAGAACCTATATGAAGCTGTGTCATGAGCAGCAGCTATATGAAGCTGTGACATGAGCAGCAGCTATATGAAGCTGTGACATGAGCAGCAGCTATATGAAGTTGTGACATGAGCAGCAGCTATATGAAGCTGTGACATGAGCAGCAGCTATATGAAGCTGTGACATGAGCAGCAACTATATGAAGCTGTGACATGAGCAGCAGCTATATGAAGCTGTGACATGAGCAGCAGCTATATGAAGCTGTGACATGAGCAGCAGCTATATGAAGCTGTGACATGAGCAGCAGCTATGCGAAGCCGTGACAGGAAGGATTAGAAAGCATTGTTGAAATACTTTGACAGGAAACAACAGTGACCTTATGCTTCGACATGGCAGCAGTGCCGGCTCATGTTGTGACGCCGCCAATAGACCTTGCATGCTTTGACATGAGCATTAGTTATATGATGCCGTGACGCGAGCAAGAGTGCGCACATGCTCAAACAAAAAAAGCAGCGATGAGATGGTGTGACATAAACAGCATAGACCTTATGCGTCACGTTGCAACGCCAGCAGTAGACACTACATGCCTTGACACGCGCCAACGTTGACACGCGCCAACGTGATATGATGCTGTGACACGAGGAGGAGTGAGCACTTGTGGTGACAAGAGTAAGCAGTGATATGATGCTAGGGCCAGCGCCAACTGATCTTATGTTGTGAGATAGCAAATTTGTTTCCTAATTTCATTGACGCCAGCAGCAGACACTACATACTGTGACATGAGTAGAGTGATGTGAAGCTGCGACATGAGAAAGAGCGAGCACATGCTGTGACATCACAGAGCAGTGGTATGGTGCTATGAACTGCAGAGCTGTGACCCTATGCTGTGACATGGCAGCAATGTCGGTTCATGTTGTAACGCCCCTAGCACACACTACATGCTTTGACATGAGCAGCAGCAACCCTGCCATGCTGTGACATTTGCAGAAGTGACACTGCACGCTATGATGCGTGTAGTTGGCGGACATATGCTGTGAGTTGAGCATCTAGAGCTGAGACATTATGCTGTGACATGGTAGAAGTGTTGCCCCATGCTGTGACGCCAGCAGCAGACTCTACATCATGTGACACCAGCAGCAGTTATATGAAGCTGTGACATGAGCAGCAGATAATTGAAGCTGTGACAGGAGCAGGAGTGAGCACATGCTCAAGGATTAGAAAGCATTGATGAGATACCGTGACAGGTTACAACAGTGACCTTATGCTTTGACATGGCAGCAGTGTCGGCTCATGTTGTGACGCCAGCAGTAGACATTGCATGCTTTGACATAGGGCAGCAGATATATGATGCCGTGACATGAGAAGGAGTGGCAAAAAAAGCAGTGATGAGATGCTGTGACATAAACAGCAGTGACCTTGCGCTCCAAACACCAGCAGTAGACACTACATGCCTTGCCATGAGCCGCAGGGGTATGATGTTGTGACATGTGCACGAGTGAGCACATGCTCAGGCATAAAGAGCAATGATGATGATTTGAACATGACATAAACTGGTCCTAGACCTTATGCTCTGACATGGCAGCAGTGTCAACTCATGTTGTGACGCCAGTAGTACACACTACATGCTTGACATGAGCAGCAGGGACATGATGCTGTGACATGGGCAGGAGCGAGCATATGCGCTGTCATAGAAAGCAGGGATGAAATGCGTCGACAGAAAGTGGAAATAGACATTATATTGTGAAT